CAATGAACATCTGGCTATAGTCTTCCTGTGTTGAATTATGTTAATTAACTTGATCCTCGTAGAAAATAATATTCACTTGAAGCCTACCTTGGAATCCTTTTGAAATTGAAATATTGATACTAATTCTTAGGATATTAAATTCTTATAACCTGCTTCGTAAACCTCGGCTATTAGATAGCTAGTTCTTAGTTGGATTTCATTCTGCCAACTGACTGAGTGTGTATAGCTGCCAGATATTTCTGTTCTAGTCTACTTTATCACTAGACATGTCATAGAGAACTGAGATTGCATTGTTGATGTTCTATGCCAGTTCTCATTAAGTTGGAAGAGCACCTATTTAATTACTGAATGATGTTAATGAAAAGGAAAGGTTGATTTCTTACCAAAAAAATTACTGTCTAATCTCTTTTCCTTCTCGATCTGAAGGTTCCTTCATTTCCCGATGATGTTGCTATGAGTCTTATTGAAGAGGAACTTGGTCAACCATGGCAAAACATTTATTCGGAACTTTCTCCTTCCCCAATTGCTGCTGGTACGGACAATTATAACTAGACATTTGTTAGTACGGATTATTTTATCTTTATATTATGAGATAATGCTCACTTCTTTTTCCCCCAAAAAAATATGGCAGCTTCTTTAGGGCAGGTATACAAAGGTCGTTTGAAAGAAAATGGAGATCTGGTGGCTGTTAAAGTTCAGAGGCCTTTCGTTCTAGAGACTGTAACTATTGATTTGTTTATCATACGGAATTTGGGCTTGGTTCTTCGGAAGTTTCCTCAGGTACTCTTTTCATTTAGAATGAAGGGGGAAATAATTTAGTAATCTTTTATTTTGAAAAGATGGAGATAATTTTAATATTCCATTTCTTGCTTCTGATTTCTCTCAGATTTCTCTAGATGTGGTTGGCTTGGTAGATGAATGGGCAGCTCGCTTCTTTGAGGAGCTAGATTATGTGAATGAGGGTGAAAATGGAACACGCTTTGCTGAGATGATGAGGAAGGACCTTCCACAGGTAAACCTAGCACATACCATTATTTCCTTAAGGTTCAGTACTGATAATTAATTTTTCTCGTGCTTTTAGGTGGTTGTTCCAAAAACATACCAAAAATATACTTCAAGGAAGGTTCTCACTACTGGATGGATAGACGGAGAGAAGCTGTCCCAAAGTACAGAAAGTGATGTTGGGGAACTTGTGAATGTGGGAGTCATATGCTACCTAAAGCAGGTAATTTTCCTGGTCAATAAGTTTGACATACCACTGCCTTCTTGACAACCATTTCATGATAAAGACAAAGGTCCTTGGGTATATGTTTTTTGTTCTATTATTTGAAAGCTAGACTGGGCAAAATGAAAGAGTTTTAGTACATACGGAGAGTAAGTGTTGGAATTATTTTGGATCTTATTCTTTTTACTTCCTCTTCCAAGAGTTACTTGAAATATTGTGGTGACTACTCCATTTCATTATTCATGCTAGGGGGGCTCTATCCCTCCATTAAACCGAAAAAAGAAAACGTATTGCTTGAAGGAGCATATACAACAACATTCCATGGAGTCAAATCAATACATATCCTCACAAGTGACTATTTTTTTTTTCTTATTTAATTGGTAAACTTCTTGGCATCAAGTATTTAATAGTTGCTGATGTGATGTAGCCGCTGTCAGAACAACCGAGATATGATTTAAGTGTTTCTCAAGATACACTAGAATACTTGTGCACCGTAGTAGGTGTCAGATTTATATCCTAGTACAGGTTCCTGCTTACTTGTGGTTACAGTGATTAGAATTATGGAACTTTTGAATGTATCAGTCATATATATAAGAAGGTTTTTGTACTACTGGGAAAAGGTTGTGTTTGTGTGCGCGCCAAAATATAACACTGCAGTTTGACTTTTCCTGTATATCTTTTGAGCTTTCTAACTAAATACATTTTCGTATAGTTACTTGACACTGGATTCTTCCATGCTGATCCTCATCCTGGGAATTTGATCCGCACTCCAGATGGAAAGTTGGCCGTGCTTGACTTCGGTAACAAACTTTAGAACACAATTTATATAAGGCATATTTTAACGTTCATTATATATATGTTTGTCCATTCAACCACAACCTATCTATCTCAACTTGGTTTCATGCACCTCCTTTGAGTACAAAATGTATCTAATAATTTTATTTTTTTCCCGAACACTCTCATGATTTTATAATGACTTGATCTTTATTTGCTGTTACAGGTTTAGTCACAAAGTTAACTGATGATCAGAAGTATGGAATGATTGAAGCAATTGCACATCTCATTCATCGAGATTATTCGGCTATTGTCAAAGACTTTGTTAAGCTTGGTTTTATTCCAGAGGGTGTTAATTTGGAACCAATCTTGCCAGTCCTAGCAAAAGTTTTCGATCAGGCTCTTGAGGGTGGAGGTGCAAAGAATATCAACTTCCAGGAGCTGGCTTCAGATTTAGCTCAGATAACATTTGATTATCCATTTCGGATACCTCCATATTTTGCTCTTATAATCAGGGCAATTGGGGTTCTAGAAGGAATAGCTTTGGTGGGAAACCCTGATTTTGCCATCGTGGATGAGGCATATCCTTATATTGCACAGGTATAGTTCCTCTTATTTATTTATTTTGCTGATGATGCTAGTTAGATACTACCCTTTTTTCCGTACTGAAATAAACGTTGTGTGCTCATGGCCGTGGTTGTATTCCTTTGTGGTAGATCTATTAGATGATTTTATTTTTGTAGGAAATGTAAACATCAATAACAAGGATAAGTTTTGTTTGTTTCACGGTGTGTTTTTGTCGTTTCCCGAAAATGGTAAAGCTTGAAGGTTAATTCAATATTTTTCTTGCAAATGATGTGTACAAAACCTCTACATTAAATGTTAATTAACCTTTTCTGTCCGTACAGTGAGTTAAAGTGTTGGATCTACAATTCATAGTAAATCAAGTTCTACGATTTTAGCACTTGGAAAAATGGTGGATTTTCAAGGATGTTGCCATAAACTTGTATGTAAAAAATACAGTAGTCGTTGAAGACACCCTTTGGTCCTTTCGTTGTTATTAAGTTAGTTTCTGGGCTCATAAATACTAGAAACATGTTCTAACCTAACCCCCTTGTTCATAGCCAAAAATTTACGGCCAGGCCTTTGACTCAACTCTTAACTTAATTACATTTGGGTCTCTTTCTTCTCCTTTCTTTCAGAGACTTCTGACTGATGAGTCCCCAAGGTTAAGGAGTGCTTTACGATACACAATCTATGGGAAATCCGGAGTATTTGATGCTGAGAGATTCATTGATGTTATGCAAGCCTTCGAGAATTTCATTACTGCAGCTAAAAGTGGGGGTGGAGAGGATTTAAGTGGAGATATGGCCGGGCTTGGTGGTCTGAAAAGTCAAACATCATCTTCCTTTCTTCAACTTCTTCCTGCTCCCCGCGAATTCGAGCAGAATCAACCTATTGAAACAAGAGCATCCTTGGCCTTTTTGCTGTCTGATAGAGGGAACTTCTTTCGGGAATTTCTTCTTGATGAGGTAAGCTCTAGAAGAACTTTTGTAAGTTACTTTAGATATAATCTTACTACCTTTTTTGGTCCCCCCAAATGCTACAGCCTAATTAGCAAATTAGACATCTGAGCTTCAGAAATACTTGCTTTATGTCACTTTCCTCTTTCGGTATTTGAACATGCAAGGCCAATATTTTTCTTGATAATGAAAATGTTGTTCACTGTTGTACTATGCAGATTGTGAAGGGCATTGATGCAGTCACAAGGGAGCAGTTAGTACGTTTAATGTCAATCTTTGGACTTAGAAATGCTACACCAGTTTTTAATATGGTTCCTTCCATTGGACCATTCAAGCCTGTCGCACTTCTACCCACAGTATCAGAAGAAGACAGAGTCATACTAAATAATGTTCAAAAGATTCTCGAGTTCTTAACGGCGGGAAGTTCAATCTCAGCAACATCTAAGGAGGTACTTGTAGGCTCGAGTCAAAAGTGAATAACATATACGTAAACGAGTTTTTGATCTTCTTTCAAACGAGTATATCCTCACTATTTTCCCTTTTTCATCATTGTGGGTACAAACAGGGTGCGGATGTTGTTCGAGTTATTCAGGAGCTTCTTCCAGTTTTGCCAGGCATCTCCACTACAGTTCTTCCTGAGGTGCTCAGTCGATTATCTTCCCGGGTATTCGCCCGATTAATTCGTGATGCATTGTTATGAGGAACGCGCACAATTCGACTTTTACACGTCATTTGAATTTAGCACACATATAACTGATATATACAGGTGAATTATGTAACCTAACCTGATCATCTTTCAGGTATTTCCAATGCTTAAATGCTTCGAGAAATTTTCTTTCTTTTTTTTTTTTTATATTTTTTTATATATCATTCACTAACAAGAAATGTAAAGTTGGCAGTTCTATTGTATGCCAAAAACTTCATTATATAGTGAAATTAAAATTTATTTTCACAGAGAGACTTTGTTTACCTACCTTAATCTTGTTCATCTTTTGTGCTTGTTCTCTTTACAATTGCTTTGTTTTGGTGCTTCTAATTGTAATGGCGATGACATGTACCCAGTTTTATGATCCTTCTTTGAACTTATTTGAAGGGTTGATTATCTACCGCTTAAATAAGATTGAAAGGGCAAATAAATCAGAAAAGACGAATCAACTATTGACTAAGCTTCGTGTTATGTGGATGATTTAATACGCATGTCTTCAACTAAGAGGTCAGAGGTTTGAATCTATTCACTTCTCATATTATCGAAAGTTTGTACAAAATAAACTAAAGGCAAACTGCCGCAAACAAATTTTGTTGTTGGGTCACTATCTCAAAATCTAAAAATAAGATTAAAGTTATTAAGAAGTTAGAATAGAAATGTAAAGTTTGTAGGTCCATTCTTATCCAAGAGACATGGAATCTAGGCAGCTTCTAAGACTTTTGGTTCTTGATCTTTCTTGCATTTCAAATATATGGCACTTATGTTTGATCTAATGCACACATGGTTCCACAAGCACAATGCAGTTTATTCAAATTCTGTATCATGAAAACCTTTATCCATGGAGTTGGCAACCCACAAACACAGCTCAATTCTTATACATCTTCTAAACACATGCATGTGAAAGAAAGCAAATCCGAAACAGCAGGAGACTAAAAGAAAAAGGGAGGCCAACTACCCATCTTGCTATTTGAAACCAACAGGAACAGTCAATTACTTCTCCAAATAAACAAAGAGAAGACAACTTCTCTTGAGTTTCAGCCTTTTACCCCACAAATGAGTGCTTTTCTAAAGCAAAAGAACAACAACTTGTAGTGGTGGCATGATCATGATTGTGCTTTTCCCACTCTGTTTAAGTGTACAGCAAACTGTAATCATGATCACAAAACTCCCCTACCCATTACTTTTTGTGGCAAATCCCCAAATCTTCAGCATGCCATCTGTGTTTAATCAAATGCTTTAACGATTCTAACCTCCTTCTTCTTCCCTCACAGGGCTCCAAGTTTGGTCATGGTTTCAACGGATCAAACCGGTGAAGAGAGGCGTTTCTTTGTTGATTGTACTCCTGGCGTCGGCGGCGCGGAGCAGGTGCACCGCCGTAGTGTGCTCTTGCTATGCACCTTCAGGAAGCTTTAACAACAAAGGCGAAGGAAGCAAGACGAGCACCATTTTCAGGTCACGTTCTGTTGAAGAAAAGAGAGATGGGGTCAAGCAAAAATGGCGTAATAATCATGAGCTACAAGATGGTAACGGAAATGGGTCTAATGGGATTCATTTAGAAATCCCAAATCTCAAGAGCAATTTAAAGAAGACAAAGGAGAAGGAGGAAGAGGAGGAGACTTGTCCTACAGAAACAAGGAAAGTGAACTGGCCTGATGCCCATGGTAAAGATATTGCTCATATCCAAGAATTTGATCCAAGGTATGCTTACTTTATACTCATTTCCAAAGCCCTGCTCTTCAAGTAGATATTAAATTCTAAGTTAATAATGGCCTCTTTTTCATGATCAAGAACTGTTTCTGAGAGCTTCAAAGATGAATTTGTGTTTATTCTGTAAGTTTCTGGTTTTGCCACAGTGTATCAGGAGATGGGGAGCTTGAGGGAGTAAGAAACTCTTGTGTCTGCACGATTCAGTAAGACAAGAAAAGAAAAGGGTATGTTTGTTTTTAGTTTCCTCCCATGAATCTTTCTTTCAATAATGAGTGCAATATGCTGCAATGACTGAAGAGTGGTGATGACACATAGGGTTAAGTCCTTAGGATTCCTGATGCAAAGACAATCTGTATTTCATTTTCTTGTTCCTGCCATCTTTTAGAACCCTCTCTAGCCTTCGAACTCCAAAGAAAAATGTCAATTCCTGCTCGACAAATTTAGCTTGTATTTACCTTTAGACATATCTATATAGTGAAGTTTTCTTTTAGAATAATGTGTAGAGATACCCAAAAGTTGATGCTATGAGCTTCGTGGGAGTCTACTAAACAAGATTATTAAACGATTGTACTCCCATTTTTCATATCCTAAAACTTGTAATGAATGAAAGATGAAGATGTTAGTATATAATCAAAATTAAGTTGGATCTTTTAGATAGGATTGCTTTCATTTTTTGATCATCTGATTTCAATACTAACGGTTAGACGAACATGACTCTCTACAATGGTATGATATTGTCCACTTTGAGCATAAGCTCTCATGGCTTTGCTTTGGGCTTCCCAAAAGGCCTCATCCGAATGGAGTTAGTATTTCTCACTTATAAACCCATGATCATTCCCTAAATTAGCCGATGTGGGACTTTCATTATCCAACACATCCCCTCGAACAAAGCACGCCTCCCCTTAATCGAGGCTTGGCTCCTTTGGAGTCTTAGTCATTTTTGACTGCCTTCGTACCTTTAAGGAGGCTTGACTCCTTTTTGGAGTTCTTTGTTCCGAGGATTTGCCAATCTATTGGCACGGCTAAGTTTAGGGCGTGACTCTGATATCATGTTAGACGAACACGACTCTCCACAATGGTATGATATTGTCCACTTTGAGCATAAGCTCTCATGGCTTTGCTTTGGGCTTCCCAAAAGGTCTCATCCGAATGGAGTTAGTATTCCTCACTTATAAACCCATGATCATTCCCTAAATTAGCCAATGTGGGACTTTTATCATCCAACACCTCCCCTCGAACAAAGCATGCCTCCCCTTAATCGAGCCTTGGCTCCTTTGGAGTCTTAGTCATTTTTTACTGCCTTCGTACCTTAAAGGAGGCTTGACTCCTTTTTGGAGTTCTTTGTTCGACATTCGAGGATTTGCCAATCTATTGGCACGGCTAAGTTTAGGGCATGGCTCTGATACCATGTTAGACGAACACGACTCTCCACAATGGTATGATATTGTCCACTTTGAGCATAAGCTCTCATGGCTTTGCTTTGGGCTTCCCAAAAGGCCTCATCCCAATGGAGTTAGTATTCCTCACTTATAAACCGATGATCATTCCCTAAATTAGCCGATGTGGGACTTTCATCATCCAACACTAACTTCGTTTTTTTCTTATTTTCTCCTTTATTGCTACTCTCACAACCTTCAATTCCTCATGATTTGATTCATCAAAAAGGTTGAAGAAATGAACAACATCAATGTATATGTATGTACATGTATTTGGTCTTTGATTGCATTTCTTTTCCTTGCTTTACTCTAGGTTAAATTAATGAAAATATCTTTAAATTTTATATTTTGACTTTTGATTGCGAGATCTCCCATCAATTAAAGAGTGGAACGAAACATTTTTTTACAAGGGTGTGAAAACCTCTTCCCAGAAGATGAAGATATGTTTTAAAAATCGTGCGACAATACGTAACGTGTCAAAGAAAACAATATCTATTAGTGATTTTGAGCTGTTATGCTACATGTTCAAAGTGAAAAATTCAGGTGTATTTTTTATATAATTTTTTTTTAGGGAATTCTTGAACTTTTTTTAATTATTGATTTTTTTTTTAAGTTAGCATTTAGCTATCTAAAATTATAGAAACAATTGTAGGATGAGAAATATATGGGATTAATTTGAACCGGCATAGATTAATCCATCAATTAATTATGGCCATGATTATAATTATGATAATTAAAATTAAGTTGATCATAGGTTTGTGTTAAATAATGAGTATCATATAATATAAAAACATATCCATTGACCTATCACTTTTTCCAAAATACACTATATTTTAAAATATAATATAAATGTAATTGTTACTTTTTCTATTAAAAAAAATGCAAGTTCTTAAATATAACATAAAATCTGGATAGAGAAACAAGACATGGAAAATGGGCCTTCACATGCCAATAGCCCATTCAATTATTCAGGCCCATGAGGCGCACTCACAGTTTCAACAATAAGCCCAGGCCCAACTTCAATTAATACACTCCATTCTAGCCCATCGCCAGCAGTCTAAGCCCATTTTCACTGGACTTCTTCCTCATCCGGTCCAAAATAAACAACACGCACGCGGCGCAACTTTTCGAGCCAAGGCCCAACTCCATCTTGATCGGGCCTAAATCGACGGCCTACCAGGATGCGCGATCCAAAAGTCGAGTTCCAATCAGAAAGGCCCAATGGGCCAAAGCATCGAGGAGTGAACCCAACTTCACGCGAATGGCCATCAATGGGCCTCTCGCTATCGGGTAAAACAGTTTGGGCCACGGAGAATTTCGAAAATGGGCCTCTCGAGCCCACAATGGTCGCGGCGGTTTCGTGGCTGAAGAGGGCCTGGGCGGCGAGGATTATTGAAATAAACTATTAAAAAGCTTTTATGCTAATTTATTTGCTCCTCCATAAAATAAGTAAGAAGGTTCTCGAAATTAGGTCCCAAATTTTTTAAAAAACAATTCTCTTGGAAATTATAATGTAATAAAGACAAATGATTAATGTTGTCCTATTTGTTACTCCCAACAAAACATGCATTCTATTTTCTAAGGATGTTATTCTTATAATCATGAATAAATTAACAAATAATCAATATAATAAATAATGAATTTAAAAAATTAACAAATAAGCCGTTTTCAAGCTGCTGGAGCTGTCGAGCCACGCCGAAGTCGAGTTGATGACCGTGTCGATGGACAAGCCGAGACAAGTTGCGATTGGGAAGGAGCACGTGTAGGGCTATGGAGTGCAGGTCGTCGCTCGGGTCGTTATGCAAACTTCGAGTCGGTTTATGAGCGTCATGGGTCGCATTCTAGTTGGGTTGATTTCCTCTCTTGGGTCGAACGTGTTAGTGGGTCGGCTTGGTTTGATGAGTATTGGACTATCAAAATCGACTTCCAAGTTAGACCTCGACACGTGAACTTTGTCATCTCAACATGAAATTCTTTTTTCCTCTTCTCAAATCTGTACTCCGACATTCTCACACTCTACTCCAGCCACCACTTGTTTACCCTTCACTCACACAACATCATTGTAAGCCTCCATCGTGTTATCATTGCTAATACGCTCCCAAAAAGGAAGAATTTTTGACCCTTTCCTGAATCAATTGTACCTTCGAATTTTGTATTTCCAATGTGTAGACGTTGCAGATCAAAGTGTAAAAGTTATTGAATAGTTTGAGAGAAGGCTTGACAATGTTTTGTAGGGTACGTGAGCGAGTAGCTCGAAATCAGTGGCTTGCTGAAAATCTCGCGATATTCGATGAGATTCAAAATATATATATAATTTTAAATCATAACCGTTATTATATTAAAAGCCGTAAACTCTTTTATTATTAGTGTGAAGTTATTTTATGAGTAATTATTATGTATATGAAAAAAAGAACACAATTGTGTAAATTTTTATTACTTTTGGTACAACTTACTACACTTTATTTGTGTTAATAGTGTTTGGTAGAGAGACAAACATGCTTCCAAATTCAATTCAATTTTGCTATAATTTTTAATACCTAACTTTATTTTTCTAACCAACCAATGAGTATATAACTTACCAAATACTTTGTATCAAACGCTCAATAACTAACGTTCCAAATTTTAAAGGCCTCATGATTGTGTGTGCTCTTTACTCTCCTCGATAATCCTCAACAATTCTACCCGTGAATAAAATGCATTATAGAGCCTCTTTTGAACTTCCTTTTTGGAGCTCTCGAGCAATACTTGAGTCACTTTGACTACACCTTCGAGGCTAACAATTTCTTTGTTCGACACGTGAAGATTCTATTAACATGGAAAAACCAAAAGCAGAGCCATGAAATGTAATGACCCAGACCCACCACTAGCAGATATTATCTTATTTCGACTTTTCTTTCGAGCATTCTCTCAAGACTTTAAAACGCGTCTATTAGGGAAAGGATTCCACGTCCTTATAAAGGGTGTTTCGTTCTCTTTCCCAACCAATGTGGAATTCTCACATGAAAACTAATGTTTAGAGTGGATAATATCATATTATTACGAAAATACGTGATTCTTAACATGGTATTATAGTGAAAGCTATTATTAAACACGGATATCAATACGTTCATAACATATTTGAAAGTGATATCATTTTTAGTTTTAAAAAAATAAAATATATTAATGTTGAAGATCTCGATATTTATAAAAATTCTAAGTCAAAATTTTGAAGATAATTTTATTGGAAGGTGAAAAAAAAAAGGTAAAATTTGTGTTACCCCAAAACTTTAATGTCACTTTTTGTCTTTAAATCAAAAATATTGATTAAATAAATGAGTTTGACTTGAATTATAATTCAAAGAAAATAACCAAATTATATACTATAAAAGGTGAATTAATTGATTTTTTTTTTCTTTTTTCTTTTGGTAATTAGCTCCGGCGAAGTTTCACGGTGGCCCACGGTGGCCCCACGGTGGTCCAAATAAAGGAAACTTGTTGAGGAGATAAGGTGTTTGGCTTTTGGTCAAAGGGAGTAAAAAGTAATGGTTTGAGTAATTTTTTGTTTTTTCACTTTTGCCGGCAAAAGAAACTTGTGAACTTCCATACCCGCCAAATTTTTGCTTACCCAACTTTACCCTACATAATTCATCCCGAGCATTGAACCGTTCTTACGAGCACCAAATAGATTCGAAATAATTAATACGTTCGTTTTTCAAGTTCAACACCTTAGGTAAAGTGTAACTACTCAAGCCCACCGCTAACAGATATTGTTCGTTTTAACCCGTTACGTATTGTCATCAACCTGACAGCTACAAAAGAAATGTTTCATTCCCCTTCTCCAACCAATGTGGGATCTCACAATCCCCCCTTTGGGAGCCCAACGAGACACACCATCTAGTCTTGGCTCTGATACCATTTGTAACCCACTAAAGCCACCATTAGTAGATATTATTCGCTTTTACCTGTTACGTATCGCCGTCAGCTTCACATTTATAAACCGCGTCTATTAGAGAGAGATTTAAGATTTATTAGCATATCTTTACGGATTAAACTATACCCATACTCGATAATAATTTTATTTACGGGTTTCAAATTATATTTTATTTAAAAATATCATTATTATTTTTGAAAAAAAAAAGGGGGGTCATTAGTCATATCATTAATGTCTTATAATAGAGGGGCAATTAAACAAGGTAATTAAAATGTTGTTAGTTTTTAAATAAATATTAAGGATTTATTTTTAATTAATTTAAGAAAATGAGGAGGGTAAAATGGTAAATAAAGGCGAGGAGAGAGAAATATTGTTGGTTAATGGTTTTGAGGGAGGCGTGAGAATATTGTTATGATGGGAGGCACATGGTTGTTACATGGGAGCATTATCGCTCCCAAAAATATGGAAAATTTTTGTTTTAATTACTTTTTAGTCCTTCAAAATTTTAATATATATATTTTAGTCCCTCAACTTTCTATATATAACAAATTGTTTTTTTTTTCCTTCTATTAATTAAAATTTAATAAATATTTTAAATGTTTCACGAATTGATTATTTTAATTTATTTCTTTATTTTATTTTATATCGTAGAGAGATTGTACTCCTTTTTGTTTGTTATATAGTAAAATAACTAAATAATTAAATAAAACTAAAATAAATATTCATATCATTATTGATTATGTCTCCACAATATTTTATCTTCGTTAATAAAATATTTAAATGCTTGATAATTATTTAATTTTACTTAAATATTTTTTATTTTAAAAATATAACTAAAAATTTAAATAATTATTTTACAAAAATTGAAATTCATGAAAATTTTGTATTAATTTACGTGATAAATAAGAATGAATTAGGTAAATAATTATTGGATTTTAATGTTTTTGTAGCTTAATTATATTTTTAACTTTAATAATTATAAAAATTTTGTATTAATTTACGTGATAAATACGAATTAAACATGTAAAATTCAATTTTTTTTTTTTTTTTTTTTTGAAAGAAAAGAAAATGAATGATGAAGCTTAAGAAACACTCAGCTCTTCCACCATCATAGCCAGAATTGAGGAGTGTTGAGTTTTAAATTTAAATTTAATTTTACAATAAACCTAAAAAAACAAAAAGGAAAAAAGGAAAATAAAGGAAGAAAAGATAAGTTAACTGCCTGTGACCAAATGTTCCACACCCAACAGACTGAGTCACCAATCAAGAGCCGGAACTTGTGCCTGTGACTGTGATTCACTCATCCAAGCAACCCCCAAATTTAATTACTTATTTTATATATTTATTGACCGCAAAATCAGCTGAAAATCGTGATATCGGTTCCTGGTGACCGTATTCCGTANGGGGGGGGGGGGGGGGGGGGGGGGGGGGGGGGGGGGGGGGGGGGGTAAAAAAAAGTCGAAAAGTTTCGATGGTAGCTTGTGTATTTACTGTCACGGTAAATAACGAGTCAGTTATTTTCCGTTAAGGCCGGTTTGTTGAAACTTGGAAAGCTGAATAAAGGGATTCGTGAAGCGTCAAAGCAATAAAAAGTAAAAAAGAAGTTTAAATTCCTATTGGAAAAGACTGATTTATTCCCAATTTTTCACATGAATTCTCTGTTTTAGTAAACAAGGGAATGAGGCATTTAGAGGGTTAAATTAGTCTTTTAAGTGTTTATTATGTTAATTTATTTAATTAATTTTTTTTATTACCCTTCTCATTTTTAAAACTCTACTTTCTCTCCATATTTTTTAGAGATGTTTTTACTATTTTTTGCACAAATTTTAAAATAAATAACAAGTTTTTCTACAACTATTTAATAAAAAAAGCTTCCATTTAAAAATGTTATTAAAAAAATTTTAATACGACAAAAAAAAAATAATAATAACAAAAAAACAGAGTCTAAATTATAAATTATATTTTTAAAACTTTTAAAATGGTATATATTTAATTTCTATATTTTAAAAAATTTAAAGTTGAATTGAGTTTATTATTTAATAAGAGTTGTTTGAGTTGAAAAATTCACGACCCAAAAAAATAAAAATATCTCAACACAACTCAATTCAAAAAAATTTAAGGTTGAGTTAAATTCATTAAATCCCGAACAATTGAGTTAAATTTAAAAATGTCTCAACTCAATCTAATTCAACCCACAAACATCTATTCAAAATTAAAAAATGAATTATTATTTATTTATTTTTGGATAGAGGCTAAGAAAGTTTAGACTAATTTTTTAATTTAAATAATTTTATTTTAACATTTTGTCATGCAATATTATTAAGTTTCCGGATTTTTCTCGTGTTTCTTTGAATTAAAATAAAATAAAATATTAATAGATATAACGTAGAAGTTAGTTGACGGCGTTAACGTCGGTTGGACGAATGTTTGGTATTTTGTTATCGTCTTTCCGTTGGAGGTATGTCTATAAAAGGTCCGTTTTGTCCAAAGCTTTCACTGACATCACCACTCTTTTCCTCTGTTCTTCTTCTTCTTCTTCTTCCTTTTCTCTCCACATTTCTCCTTCTCCATTACCTCTCTCTCTTAATCCCCTCTGGTTTTCCTCAAGAGTGTGAACGAGAGAGATAGAGAGAGGTCAGAAATGGCGGCACTCAGCAAATGGTCTTCTCTGTCTCTGCTTGCGCTTGCAATGGTGTTCTTTGTAACAATGGCTCTGGTTCGCAAAGAAGAGGTCTCTGAAATTAGGTAAATCTTTTCTCCCTTTCATATTCTTCTCGTACAATCTCAATGTGATGTGTTTGATTTGGTAATTCTAGCCACATTGTGTGAATTTCTTGTTGAGAGCAAATGCAAGGTTTGTATAGTACTGATTCTTTTCGATTTCAATTTGGAGACTCTTGAATGTTCAATGTGGATGTATGATTCAATATGATTTAGTGTTTTTTCTTAGAATATTGGATCAATGCTGTAATGTCGAAATGAGAAAAAGTAAAACTACGCTCCACTGCATTAATGGCGGACTTCAGTTCAAAATTCCTTTTACTAAAGGAGTGAGGAATAAAAACAGAATCTCTTAATTTCAAACGAACTGTAGCGGTTTTTGAATTGATTTTTGTTCTTTTTTCATTTTACAGGACTGTGTTAGCGACGAAGTTTCAGAGCTCTATCAACTCATCAATGGCGACCAGGTTAGTTTTCGTTTCATTAACTCGAGTAATGAAAGGAAGGGGAAAATCTGTACCGTAATGAAATGATCTCAACCGTACGTTCGTTCTGCCCATCTTGTTGCTAATCACAGCCGTTGGATTCTCCTCGGATCCGTGTGATGTGATGACCCAACTGTAGCTAACGATCTCAGCCGTTAAGATCCAGATCTTCAATCTTGACCATTTGTTCCGTTTTCAGTTACTCCCCCTTAAGATTCCTTCCCGTAATTACCCCCACAGGCTCCCTGTCATTTCCCTCGCGTTTCAGTCATTTCATCAACAAGAATAGAAGGACAGTTTCTTTCTCCTTTTATTTCCTTATTAATTCTTTGGGTGTTCGTTTTTTCCTTTTTCCTCCCCTCTAGTGCCGACCAATCGTCTTGCCTCAATTCCCTCTCTCTAAACAAAAGCGCTTTTCCCAACGGTTTTCTCTCTGTGACAGAACGACAGTACGGCGGGCTGCGTGAAAGATCTCTTCCGCACACCCACCGAGCGTTGAAGCCACTCACTAACTTCTTCATTTCCATTTCTCACGCGCCCTCTGATATTCCACGCGCTCTTTTCTCATATACGTCTTCACTGCTCTAGTTTGAAGTTTAAACTCCTCTAATACGGCTAATTGTTAAGTTAAGTGAGAATAAAAAGATAATATCTCGGTGGGTTTGTCACTTAATTGGGTGATTCTGTTTACAGAGCGGTGAATGATGATTTGGAGGAACTTAACAATGAGCATGCTGTGGATAATCCTGACGAGATTGCTGCCTCTGTTGAGATGTGAGTATTTTTCTTTCATTCATTCTATATTTGAATCATTGATTCTTTTGTTATCGTTAAGACGTCTATATCTTGTTAAGAAATTCATTATTAGAGAGATTGGTTTCGTGAAATTTGGTTCGAATTGGATTTTTCTCTTTTAATTAGTAATGGGTCTTGTAGTAATTAAATAGCGAGCTGCACATCGCACATGCGGATGTTTGTTCAGTTTTTGTCTGTATCGTAAAACCTTAGGAAGAGAATTTATGGACGTTACAATGAAAGAGTCTTCGTGGTCAAAATGGCAGCATGATTTTGTCATTTTCTGTTTTAGTGATATGCATTCTTTTATTACCGTTGTGATTGAAAACGAGCATTGCTGGCGGCCCTGACATTCGCTTTCCGACAAATTCTTGATTGTTCTCGATATTTGTACATGTAGATTGTTATGGGATTTCCCATAACTTCTATCCTATCTTTGGTTTTTCATTGGACAAGAGCAATTTCAGAACTCGAGAAATTTATCCTTAGAATGTTCTTTGATATGGCAGGAGCATCCGTAACAGCACTGAAAGGAGAAAATTGGGATTTTTCTCCTGTGGAACTGGCAATCCCATTGATGACTGCTGGCGTTGTGACCCCAATTGGCATCACAAACGTAAACGCCTAGCTGAATGTGGCATTGGGTTTGGCCGGAATGCTATCGGTGGTCGTGATGGTCGTTTCTACGTTGTCACTGATTCGAGCGACAACGATCCGGTGAACCCGAAGCCAGGGACTCTTCGTCATGCTGTCATTCAAGAGAAACCTCTTTGGATTGTATTCAAAAGGGACATGGTGATTCAATTGAAACAAGAACTCATCATGAACAGTTTTAAGACCATTGATGCTCGCGGGGTCAATGTACACATTGCCAATGGCGCTTGCATCACAATACAGTTTGTGACTAATATCATTATCCATGGTCTTCACATCCATGATTGCAAGCCCACAGGAAATGCCATGGTGAGAAGCTCTCCAACTCATTTTGGGTGGAGAACCATGGCTGACGGAGATGCCATTTCCATCTTTGGGTCAAGCCATATATGGATCGACCACAATTCACTCTCTAATTGTGCCGATGGCCTTGTTGATGCTGTCATGGGCTCAACTGCAATCACCATCTCCAACAATCACTTCACCCACCACAATGAGGTACACTTTCTATTGCATTTCTGATATCAAATCAAGTTAGAAATAACAAATTTATTTGATGAAATTTGATTTTAAATGGTAACAGGTGATGCTTCTAGGCCATAGTGATTCCTACACAAAGGACAAGCAAATGCAAGTCACCATTGCTTATAACCATTTTGGAGAGGGACTCATTCAAAGAATGCCAAGGTAAGCTCGTCTTTTATACGTGAAGAAGATGGTTTAAATTGTGTTGAGTTTGTCAACAGCGATTTCTCACCCCACATTAATTTCAATGATGTGTATAGATGTAGGCATGGCTATTTCCATGTGGTGAACAATGACTACACTCATTGGGAGATGTATGCCATTGGTGGAAGTGCAAACCCCACCATCAATAGTCAAGGAAACAGATATGCTGCTCCAACCAACCCTTTTGCCAAAGAGGTAATTAACTCCCCCAAAAATCATTTCAACTTAGAATTAGATTCCAAAATTGTTACCACACTTGATGAGTCGGGTCTGTAACCGCCTAAGCCCACCACTAATAGGTTTTGTCCTCTTTGTGTTTTCCCCTTCGAACTTTCTCTAAAGTATTGTCCTCTTTGTGTTTTCCCCTTCGAACTTTCTCTAAAGGTTTACCGCTAGCAGATATTGTTCTCTTTGGACTTCCCGCTTTGAACTTTCCCTCAGTTTTTAAAACGTGTTTGTTAGGGAGAGATTTCCACACCTTTATAAGGAATGTTTCTTTCTCCTTTCCAACCGACATGGGGTCTCACAATCCCACCCCTTTAGGGTCTAGCGTTCTCGCTAGCACTCGTTCCTTTTTCTAATCGATGTGGGATCCCAATCTCACTCTCTTTCGGGACCCAACGTCCTTGGCACACTGCCCGTGTCCACCCTCAATCATTGTGGGACCTACCAATCTCCCCCTTCGGGGCCCAGCGTCCTTACTGGCACACCGCCTCGTGTCCATCCCCTTTCAGGGCTCAGCCTCCTTGTTGGCACATCGCCCGATATCTGGCTCTGATACTATTTGTTACCACCCAAACCCAAGCCCAAAGCCACTGTTAGTAAATATTATACTCTTTGGATTTTTCCTTTCGAGTTTCTACTCAAAGTTTTTAAAATAGGTCTGCAAACCTCACCTTATAAAGAATGTTTGATCTCACTGGGTTGATGCGATGTAATGCAGGTGACCAAACGAGTTGAAACAGCAGAGAGCGAATGGAAAGGGTGGAACTGGAGATCAGAAGGAGATATGCTGCTGAACGGTGCTTATTTCACCCCATCAGGCGCTGGAGCTTCAGCAAGCTATGCGAGAGCCTCCAGCTTAGGAGCCAAATCTGCTTCCATGGTTGCCTCCATCACTTCTTCAGCAGGTTCGCTCCCTTGCCGCCGAGGCCATCCCTGCTAGTCCTGTCCCAATCATCTTAACACCAAAAAAAAAAAAAGAAAAACTTCATGATTTCTCATCCATTTCCATCACCCCCTTCTTTATAGCCATTTAACAAACACATTTTTTCCCTTCAAAACTTGTTTTAAAACCAAACCCCTTTGTTGTTCATCTGTTGGTTGCTCAACCTCGGCCTGCTTCAGCTGAAAAGAAAATGCCATTTAAGGGGCAGGTGCAGAAGCGTTGTCCTTGTTCAAATTTTCTTTTCCTCAATTTGTCTGGTTTTTTACCATATGCGTCGAGTCATTTTGTGATGCAATATTGTCGGTCATTACTCTATGTTTTTACTCTTGGTTTTGTAACTTTTTTTTAACCTTTTGAGTTCACGAGAGAGACAGCTTAAAGAAGATTACAAAAGATGAAAGGAAAGTAGTGATGTTGTTATGTTTTTTTTTACCTAGTGGGAAATTGTTAAGTTTTGGTTAGAGTGGTTTGTCTCTATACTCATTATTATGGCCTTTCAAATTGTTTGTGATCTTCCAGCATTTTTGTTTTACCATCATGTGCTTTGTGGGCCATTTCCCCCCACTTTCTTATACCATCAAGTTATAGTCAATATGATTAGTAAAAAAAAAACATTATTAAACGTTTGAAAACTCAAAATTAAGTTAAAAGTCACATTGAAATGGTTGATATAGATCGTTGGCTAAAAGATTAAAACCTAAACCCTAAAACAAAAAGGGATTTTCCACCTCGAGATCCTCATGTTATCAGAGCCATGCCCTAAAACTTAGCCGTGCCAATAGATTGGCAAATCCTCGAATGTCGAACAAAGGACTCCAAAAAGAAAAAAGGAGTCAAGCCTCCTCGAAGGTACGAAGGCAGTAAAAAATGACTAAGACTCCAAAGGAGTCGAGCCTCGATTAAGGGGAGGCGTGCTTTGTTCGAGGGGAGGTGTTGGATGATGAAAGTCCCACATCGGCTAATTTAGGGAATGATCATGGGTTTATAAGTGAGGAATACTAACTCCATTGGTATGAGGCCTTTTGGGGAAGCCCAAAGCAAAGCCATGAGAGCTTACGCTCAAAGTGGACAATATCATACCATTGTGGAGAGTCGTGTTCGTTCATGTCAAAACGAAGGTTCACGAATAAATCAAATTGCTCGTAGTATAGACTATAAAGATTTAGGTGACGCCCTTGTTTATGGGCTTTTTCAACTTTCGTAGATAACTTAAAAACGAAGTCAGGAAGGATTGTCATTTTTACCGTTTTCAACTTTGTTAGATGGCGCTTATAAATGAAGCCACGAAAATTTTGTGCTCGTTTCATAAGTTGCTTTCACAAACTAGACGACTGCATTTTAATAATTAAATAAAATTTTGAATTGATTTTTTTAAGGGTATAAATTGAATTTTAGTTCTATTTAATAATTTATCATTTCATTGTTTTTTATTTAATTAAAAAACTTTTTACCATCTAAAATTCTATTAAACACTCTTAAAGATTAATTTTTTTTAAAAGTACTAATAAAAAAATATTATTTTCTTTAAAAAGCATTCTTTTCGAAAATTACTCCAAACATATTGTTCCTTTCGTATTGAAAATTGTTTCAAATATTTTACAAAATTATTTTTTTATGAGAAATTCAAGGTTGTAAAAGAAATAAAAATTTTATTATTTGGAAATAAATAAATAAATTCTGAGAATAAATTGAAAAAAATGTATAGAAGAATTGTTTATTTAAAAATAAAAAATAGATATTTGATATGAATTCTTAACAGTCTCTTAAAAGCACCGTGAAAGTTATTAAAAAAACAAAAAATTTAAATGAAAAAACCCCAATGTCACGTGTTTGGTAATATAAACATAATGGCACGTGACACATGCTTCATTTATACATAAGAAAATAAAGTTTTTTTTTTAATTAACAATTTTGATATTATGTGATATAATTTATTTATTTTCAAGAAATATTATGTGATATAATAATAAGCTTTAATAATAGGTTTCTCCTAAGTTTTTTTTTTTTTTTTTTTTTTTTTTTTTTTTAATAAAAAAACTTCAAAACTGCTCATTTAAAAAATTATATTATTAATAATATAATTTTTTATCTATTAGATCATTAAATTTTAAAAAATTTCTAATAAGTCTCGTAACTTTCAATTATATGTTTAAATATACGATTTAATTTTTTATTTAATAAATTTATTAATTTAAAAAATGTTGTATAACATAAAATTTCAATTTTAGGAACCCATTTGGAGGTTTTTTAAAGTTTAAAACCGATAATAAATAAAATTAAAAAGTTTATATATCTATTAAATATATATTTATTAGGGAATTATTTTTCTTCCTTTCCCATTACCTTAACATACCAACTCTTGTCCATCATTCATGCCTTTGTGTTTGTTGTAATATACTAACAACTCACTTAATAATGATTGGATTTTTTTCCCTCAAAAAATTTATTTTAAATTATTTAACGTGACATTCGAGTAAAAGAGAGGTATATGAATGAACCGATATTACATCCATCTGAGAGTGAACTTGAGGATAGATGGCTAAAAATGCTTAAAATAATTGAAAGTCACTACTTATGTTAACAAACTCTGCCTTCATTTCCGGTGGCTTAGTCATAGGAACTCCTTGGTCAAACATGTTTTGTTTGGAGCAATTCTATATTACGTGATCTTTTGAAAATTTCTAAGGTACATGTGAGCGATAACAAAACATGTTGGAAAGATACATGTTGATCGGTGGAGATAGTTTTCACTATTAAGAAGCGATGGGAAGGTAGCGTGACTTTGTCGTGGAAAATGCCCGAATACATAGCTGCTGATTTTGAATTCCGGGCATGACTCAAAATATTTTTTTGTTTAGATGATTGTGTTGGTCACGTGGTTGGCCTCAAAATATGGGATGTGTTCTTCATGTTGTCCAACCCTACCATTACCACTTATAATTTTTAATATATTTATTTGTTTTTAGGTCTTTTGCTTTTTGTTGTTTTGATATTGTTTAATATTGTAGCCCATTAGTCTCTTTTCTATCCCTTTAGCTCTTGTGAGGAATTTTTCAAATCCACATGATTCCCACCTCTATTTATTTTATTTTATTTCAAACCGTAACTTTCCCGATTGTAATTTAAATTTCTGGGTTGGGTTTGACGTTAATTAGAACAAGTATGAGTGAATTCGTTCGATACATGAAATTCAGTATAGACGGAACTTTCTCGATTGTAGTTCAGGTTTCTAGGTCAAGTTTGATGTTAATGAGAACGAGTATGGGTGAATTTGTTCCGTTCATGAAATTTAGTATATATGTAACTTTCTCGATTGTAATTCAGGTTTTTGTCTTTTGATTTTTTAATTTTTTATTAGATCTCCTTCTCATAGTAATAATATAATGTTAATTCGGGCGAGTTAGAAGTGTTCTAAAAACCTAATGACTCGAAAAGTCCGATCAAAATTGGATTGGATTATAAATTTATTTCGATTGTTTTCAAATAAATTGAATTTGTTGTTGATTTTTTTTTAAAAAAACCATATTTGATAATGGTACAATTATATATACATATATTTATTTTTATATAATTTCATAACTACTTTTTAATTATTTATTCTCGGTCATAAAAATAAACTTGAACTAATTAATTTTTCAAAATATATATTTAAATTGAGTTGTAAATATTAATTAAATATTTGAAAATGAATAAATCGATATTTTAAGAACTAATATTTTCTTTTACTAAAATAAAAATATTCAATAAATCCAATCTAATCCGAACAATTGAATTGGGTCTAAAAAAAGTTCAAACCTAACTTAATAATTAAGATTAATTTTGAAATAAAAACTATTAATATTTTGTTTTAAAAAATACACTAAAATTTTAAAAAATTTAGTTAATTTTTTTAAAAAGTTAAAAATATTTAAAAAAATATCCATAAAATTTTAGAAACAGTATTAATCACTTTAATCTTTATAAAAAAAAAGTTTAAAAAGGTTATTACCGTCAATATAAAGATGAAAATCGTCTATCTACACCTCATAGGTTATTTCGACTTTTGAAACGTCTTACTGAACTTTTTAAAAAATTTAAAGATATCTATGAAGTTGGTTCTTTAAGGGTATTAAAGGTATTTTTGTAAATGTATTATTAATTTTTTTTTAGAGTATTTTGAAAATTTAAAAATATTTTTTAAATAAATGAAAATTTGGTGGGTGATTTTATTAATTAAATAATAGAGATTCCTCCAAAAGTCTTAATTCTTCTTAACTTCAACACATAAATAAAATTTTGGATTAAATAATAAAAGAAATTGAATTAAAATATTAGAAGATCTAGTGGGTGACAAATGCATATGAAACTTATCTATTCCCAATGTTTACGTGTGCTTTAATTAATTATTTTTTGATATATTAAGTGCATACACTAATTTATTTTATTTATTTTATTTAATTACAGTGAGTAATTAATTACCGGATAAGATGAACCAATATCGTATCTGAATGAGAACGATAACGAAGATAAGATGACTAATAAAATATGTTATTACGACTCGTGTTGGTTTGTGGGGATAGTTTTCACTCTTAAAAAGTAACCATGTTACAGAGGAATGTCAGGGTTATTAGGTGTCGATTCTAAATTCTGGACATTCATGCACGAAATTTGACGGATTAAGCACAAAAACAATAAACTTTGCTTAATTACTAATCTATCACATGCGTATTGTGAAAATACATGCCAAAAAAATGTATCAATTAGGTGTTTCTTTCAAGGCAAGCTAAGATGATTATTGACACAACATAGGTTACAGTTCATGATGATTTTTATTCTACAATTTGCTAATGTTCTAACATTGCTACAAAGTTCGTCAATTTAGGATTAAGGAAAGTCATATAATGTGCTTCGACACGGTTGGTCTGATAAAAAAACATGTTTGAATCTTATTCTTTTCGATAAAATTATTGTTTGTTATCGTCTTTCTTTATGAAAATAACCGTGCCAATATAAGCATAGCTCAACTGTTAAATCGTTTATTTGTCGTAAAATAAACCAAACAAAATATAGTCGATAGAGTTTTTAAGTAAGAAATACATCTCCATAGATTGTTACGAAGCCTTTTGAGAAAACCAAAAGTAAAGCCATGAGAACAACAGAGTAGTAGAGCTATGTTTTTTAACTTAGACATGTCAATAGATAAAATGGTGTACTTTGTTCAAGGGCTACAGAGAAAGTGTCGAGGCTTGACTAAAGGGAGGTTGTTCGAAGGCTCCATAGGCCTTAAGGGAGACTCTATGATGTATTTTGTTCGAGGAGTCTCACATCGACTAATTAAGGCCATCCATTTTTCTCGTAAGGTTGAAGTTCAAATCTTCATTATCGTGTCGTAAAAAGGAAAAAAAACCCGAACAAAGTAGAGCCGATAGACAAGATGAGAAGGGTAGGGTTTGTTGATGTTGGTCATGTGAGTTCTGCAGAGGCCGCGTGAACTAATCTCTGGCAAACCATTTTATGACAATAAGTAAGTCTTAAGCATATTATATATTATATATCTAAGTTTTTGTGTACTAAATTTTCAGAAATGGAATAATTTTTAAAAATTTTAAGCTAAAGTTTTATATTTGTTTATTTCATTACTTTCTGATTAATATGAATAGAGTGACAGAGACAGGTGGGTGGTGGCTGGAGCTGCAGCTTCTTCGATCTCAAGACATTGGAGTTTTAAACCACTTGGTTTTAATATTAATTATGTCCACTTAAATATGTTTTTTTTTAAGGTTTGTGTCTTGTTGCTCACTTTCTTTTCACTTCTATATAAATATACAAAGAACTTGAAGTTCTAATTTCATCCTTAGAACCCTAATTTCAAAGAGTTGTCCATTTTGAGGGTATGAATTTAGTTTATATAGTTGTATCGATTAAAACCCTAATTTAACGTTTGAAAAACGTTAGTTTGCAGTGATATATTTATAGTTGTATCAATTAAACTCTTGAATTTTTTGAGCCATCGTCATATCATGTCGTGAGATTGATAATAGCTCGTTCTCCAGAAGTTGTAACTTCGTATCATTCTTCCTTAAGAAAAGTGTCCTGAACATATTCCATGTTTCTTTTAGTGTCCTATCATTATGTATATGCTCTAAAATTGTTTTAGTGATCCACTAGATCAGTCCTGTTAGACAAATGGTCACGAGAGATTATTTATTGATCCTCTAACAAAACCACGTCTTTCCAAATATAGTACCTGTTATAGATATGCATAGTTTACACATACATAACTTACATATAATAACTTGCACATACATAATTTGCAGGGAAAGACTATTGACACGAACAATCTCGTGAATCTGGGGATAAACATAGATTTAGTTAAAGTCTCCCAAATCACGTATCGAAAACATGATCTTATTGGGTTCAAACCTAACATGGACTAAACCCGTGTTGTTTACCACGAGAACGAAAACGAAAACAAACCTCCATTTAACGAAACGAAAACCCTTTGAGCATATGAACCAAAGCGCAGGACTCAATTGATAAAGACCAACAACATTATTTCGACTTAAAATATGTTTTTGTTGGTGGGTTTGCTTTTTATTTGGTTAGAACCAAATCCCAGGCATTTGTACACTCTTATTTGAGGTGGAGTCCATGTCAAGGAAGAGCAAACACACTAAAAAACTCACATTCCCATAAGGAGAGAGAGTTTTCAAACCCCTAAATTATGTAAACCCAAGAAGAAAAGTTTGGAATTTGAGGCAAATGTCCACCAAATTCCTCTTCTTCTTCCTCTTCTTCTTCTTCTTCTTCTTCTCTCTCTCCTCTTTGGCTGCAACTACCCATGAAGAAGCTTCAGTTCTTTTCTCATGGCTTCACACTTCCTCTTCCCCTGTTTCCCCTGTTTTGTCCGATTGGAATGTCCGTGACTCAACGCCCTGTAACTGGACCTCCATTACTTGTTCTCCTCAAGGCTTTGTCACTCAAATCAACATCATTTCAATCCCTCTTCATCTCCCTTTCCCTTCAAATCTCTCCTCTTTTCACTCTCTTCAAAGGCTGGTCATTTCTGATGCTAATCTCACCGGCCCCATTCCTTCCGACATTGGTGACTGCACTGAGCTCACAATCATTGATTTGAGCTCAAACAACCTTGTCGGAACAATCCCAACAGCCATTGGAAAGCTCGAGAAGCTTGAGGATTTGATCTTGAACTCCAACCATCTGGCTGGGAAAATCCCATTTCAGCTCACCAATTGTAAGTCCCTCAAGACCTTGCTCTTGTTTGACAATAAACTGAGTGGAGGAATCCCTTCTGATATGGGAAAAATGAGGAATCTTGAGATTCTTAGAGCCGGTGGAAACAGAGATATCAATGGAGAAATCCCATATCAGATCGGAAATTGCAGAAATCTAACCATTTTGGGGTTGGCTGACACTAGAATTTCAGGCCCTTTGCCTAATTCTTTAGGCAAACTTGAAAAGCTTCAAACTCTATCCATTTACACCACCATGATCTCCAGCGAGATTCCACCAGAGCTAGGCAACTGTTCTGAGCTTGTCAACATGTTTCTTTATGAAAATAGTCTCTCTGGTTCAATACCAAAGGAGATTGGTAAGCTGCAGAAGCTTGAGCAGCTGTTTCTATGGCAGAATGAATTAGTTGGAACAATCCCAACTGAAGTTGGTGACTGTTTTAGCTTGAAAAAGATTGATCTTTCTTTGAATTTTCTTTCTGGGGCAATTCCTTTAACCTTAGGAGGTCTTCCTTTCCTTGAGGAGTTCATGATTAGTAGCAATAACGTGTCGGGTTCGATCCCTTCGAATCTTTCGAATGCTACGAATCTTTCGCAGTTGCAGCTTGATAGCAATGAGATTTCTGGTTTGATCCCTCCTGAGTTGGGGATGTTAAGGAATCTGAATGTGTTCTTTGCTTGGCAGAATCAGCTGGAAGGAAACATTCCATGGAGTTTGTCGAATTGTTCATATCTTCAAGCTCTTGATTTGTCTCATAATTCATTAACAGGCAGTGTTCCTCCTGGATTGTTTCACCTCAAGAACTTGACTAATCTTTTGTTGATTTCAAATGATATCTCTGGTACATTGCCTCCTGATATTGGTAACTGCAGCTCTCTTCTCCGGATGCGGCTTGGGAACAATCGGATTATGGGGTCGATCCCGGCGTCGATCGGTGCGCTACGGAGCTTGAATTTCCTTGATTTGTCTGGAAATCATCTTACAGGATCATTGCCTGCTGAGATTGGGAGCTGTGGAGCTTTGGAAATGATTGATCTAAGCAGCAATGAACTGAAAGGTTCATTGCCTGAATCACTGTCTTCACTGTCGGAGCTTCAAATTTTGGATGTCTCATCCAACAAATTTGTTGGTCGGATTCCTGCTAGCTTAGGACAGCTTGTTTCTTTGAATAAGCTCATTCTAGCTAGAAACTCTTTTTCAGGAACAATTCCCACATCGCTTAAACTCTGTTCAAATCTCCAACTACTTGATCTCAGCAGCAATCAACTGACCGGGAACGTACCGGTCGAATTAGGTTCGATCGTATCGCTCGAGATCGCTCTCAACCTTAGCTGTAATGAGCTGACTGGTTCATTGCCTTTTGAAATGTCTGGACTTAATAAGCTGTCTGTTCTTGACCTTTCACATAACAGGCTTGAAGGTGACTTGAAACCGCTTGCAGGGCTTGACAATCTTGTATTGCTCAACATTTCTTTCAATGAATTCATTGGTTATCTTCCGGACAACAAGCTTTTCAGACAGCTATTACCGACCGACTTGGCTGGCAACGATGGTCTCTGTTCGTCTATTAGAGATTCGTGTTTCGTAATGGATTCAGATAGGGAAGGACTTACGAATGACGGTGATGATACAACGAGATCACGAAAGTTGAAGCTAGCCATTGCATTGCTTATTTTCCTGACATTTATGATGATAGTAATGGGGTTGATCGCGGTGATTCGAGCACGGAAGATGATTCGAGACGAGGATTCGGAGATGGGAGATACTTGGCCTTGGCAATTCATACCATTCCAAAAACTGAATTTCTCTGTTGAGGAAGTGTTGAGGCTTCTTGTGGATGGCAATGTGATCGGCAAAGGGTGTTCGGGGATGGTTTATCGAGCGGAATTGGATAACGGGGAAGTGATTGCCGTGAAGAAGCTATGGCCAACAATGATGGAAACAGATAATAGTGACGATAAATGTCGAGTAAGGGATTCGTTTTCGGCCGAGGTTAAAACTCTAGGCTCGATACGTCACAAGAACATCGTGAGATTCTTGGGATGTTGTTCGAATCGAAACACGAAATTGTTAATGTACGATTATATGCCGAATGGTAGCTTGGGAAGTATTTTACATGAGAGAAATGGGAATGCTTTGGAATGGGATCTAAGATACCAAATCTTACTTGGTGCAGCACAAGGCCTGGCCTATTTGCACCATGATTGTGTCCCTCCAATTGTTCATAGGGACATTAAGGCCAACAACATTCTCATTGGTCTCGAATTCGAGGCCTATATCGCCGATTTCGGTCTAGCCAAGCTTATCGACAACGGAGATTTCGGTAGGTCATCCAACACAGTTGCAGGCTCTTATGGATACATTGCTCCTGGTAAGTAAACACCTTTTTCGATCACTCGAGACATATAGCGAACCTTTTTTGATCACTCGAGACATATAGCGAGACTAGGTCGATATATCTAATCTAGTTTTCAATTTTTGTCTGTTTCAGAATATGGTTACATGATGAAGATAACCGAGAAGAGTGATGTCTACAGCTACGGCGTTGTGATAATCGAAGTCTTAACAGGAAAACAACCGATCGACCCAACGATACCAGACGGACTACACATAGTGGATTGGGTGAGAAGAAAGAGAGGGAACGAAGTCCTTGACCCGAGCTTGCAATCGAGACCAGAGACAGAAATAGAGGAGATGATGCAAGTTTTAGGCATAGCGTTATTGTGCGTAAACTCGACACCGGACGAGCGACCGACGATGAAAGACGTGGAAGCGATGCTGAAAGGAATCAAACATGAAAGAGAAGAGTATGCAAAAGTTGATATGTTGCTCAAAGGCGGGGCCTCTCCTACAAATGGAGGGCAAGAGAAGAACAACAAGAGCTCAAATAATGGCAATGGAGTTGGAATTGAATCATCTTCTTCAAAATTGTCAACCAGAAGCTTGCTCAACACAAGCTTTTCTGCTTCCTCGTTGATCTATTCATCATCATCCTCTAATGGCAGAGATAGTTAATTTTTTTTTGTTTGTAAAAAGAAGATTGAATGATGCTTAAGCTAAAAGTTGGAATCTTGTTTGTTCGTAAGCAAATTTGGTGTCAATCGGACATCATATGACACACCACGTTGATGTATGAGTTTGTGTCATTTTTATGTGTCTGGGTGTTAGATTAAGTATGCCTTAGAATGTACTATAGGGGGAGATATGAGGTTGGTTCTCTGACACTCCTTGACCTCGTGGCCTAAGTGAGCCACCTGTAATGCATATATGTGTCATGGAGTGGGAGTGGGTAAGTATTGCAAGATGAGTGTCTTGCACGTTTCACCTCGGGAATGAAATTTTAACGACAATGTCTGGTGACACGGGTGTGTCGACATTCTGCACTTTCCCATGAGGTTGTGTTTTAGAGTTGTGTAGAAATGACTCAATATGGACACAAAATAGTTCATGTCTCGATCGTGCTTGGATATATGGATGGAAGTTTGGGAAGTTTCAAATATATAGTTAACGAGAGTGTTCCAAAAGAGTTCTAAAGGCATAAAACATAGTACCGATAGTTCCTAGTTGGCACGATACTTACTCGAGTTGTCCTGATAAGTATTGACATTGTGCCATTTCCCATGAGTTGGAGGCTGCGTTTTAGATTCAAGCTTCGACACGAAAATGATTCTTGCCTCAATATTGCTCAGAAGGATTGAAGGTTGGGAAGCTCAAAATATTAAGTTAACTCATAGATCAGTTCACAATTAACGTGTCTCGAGCGAGTTGTAAAGGCATATGATATCTCGATGCGTGTGGTGGCATCATAAAACATCAATAGGCCTCAATAATTCCTAGTTGACATTACATTTGCCTGAGCTGTCCCGATAAGTATTATAATAATTCGATAAAGAACAGTTAGGCAACCATTAGGTCAGTAGAAGCTCGAAACGTGTCGAAGTAGGCTAGTAAAACTAGATAAGCCATTATTTATGCCTCAATAGATTCTCGTAAGCATTCAAATAAAAAATTTACAATGGCACACAGTATGATTTACATCATGGGCTGACATGTTCTTTGTTCTTTTCGACACAATCCCACTTTGTTTCAATTTTCAAGGTTGGTAAAGCTTTTTCTCTTCACTTCAAAGCTAAATTTGAAGTACTCAACTTTAAGCTGAATTTCCCGACATGTTCTGAAGCATTACAAAATGTGTCAAATCTCACATTCATAACTAATGCAAATCTTGGAAGGTAACAACAAATGCAATCATTAAACCCCCCAAACTCACATTCGACCAACGAGGATAAATCAAAAGACAAAG